GCACAGCAGAAAAGGCCCTCTGCCTAGATCCCACCAATCGGAATTCCTTGACCGGTGGGGTCTGCAACCTGCCCCTTCTGCTGGACATATACCCTCAATTTCTATGAAATCTGATATGCTTCACCCATTTAGATCAGGATGCACTATCTGTACATTCTTTGAATCAATCCACCAGCCACATATGGGTAACTTATGCAGTTCTCTCTTTTCTTAAATGGCAGTGGTGGCTTCTCCTGTGAAACTGCCCTTGCAGAAAAAGTGACACTGAACTTCAACTGCCCAGCCTCCACATAGTGCTGAGCAACAGTGGGAACAGGAGCAGGCCGGTGATCCTACAGGAAATCCAATCTATATCCAGCAGCTCTCATGTGGACTACCTCACAGAGTACTGCCTCACACTCTGGCCTCACACTCACTACTGAACTTTTAGAAGGATCAGTATATGCACCATTTGTATCTTCCCATTGCTTCAGCCTGTACTATCTAGTGAATTCAATTAATAAGAAAGGACTCTACTTAAGACTTTTTGAACAGTGTAAATTATGGATTTTGGCTGTGTGTGCCAGAGGGCTAGTGTTGCAGGGACATAACTGTTTGGCTCCCTCCGCAGGGAGCTGATAGTAACTCTCCAGTTTTTCCGAACCACTTTGGCTTATAGTCACAGTCTGGGCATTTAGCATCCACAGTGAGAACAGTGGAGGTTGAGAGTGGTGGAACTGAGAGGTAGAGAGTGGAATAGGTGGTTGCGGGTAGAGGGTGGTGTGCCCGGCGGGGTGATTTAGGGCAGAGGGTGGTGTGTTTGTTTGCATGACTGATGTCAGATGAACTAACTGTTAGAGTGTAGGAATGCTGAGTGCTAAAGGAGAAGCATCCCAAAGACCTGATCAATTAACTAGAAAGAGTGCTACAATCTTGGAGTGTGAACTCAGGCCTTTTGTTCTGGGAGAGGATGGACAGGTGTTGGGGAGGCTGGTATGTCTGGGGGGATAAGGGATAAAAATATAAATCCTTTGTCATGCTCAGATCACTTTCTGTTAACCCTAGTTCTCTGCAATAACCCTTCACTGCAGGGAAGAAGGGCTTATTTGACTGGTCTGCTCCAGATACCTGTTGGACCTTGTTGGGTTTGAACAGGAACTTGAGGATATTCCTGAGGCACTGATGCATGGTTCATCTGAGGCCCTCATGACTGGCTGGGACAGAAGGGCAGGGGAGGGCAGGGGCATGGCGCCTTGGATCAAACTGCACCTTTGCAGCCTCTCCGTTGGTAAATCCCAGAGATCCCCAAGATGCCTAGAGTGCTACTGAAAGTAAACTAGAAGTAAATCTACTGAAACACAGGTAAGAGTTTTAAGATTACCTCATGGTGATAGAGTGGCAAAGCATAATTATTTTTCTGCTCTCATCCATCCACAGATAGCCATCCAGTGGCCTAGTTTAGAGTAACCCAAACCTCCTAAGAAGGGAGGAACCAGAGGAACATCTACAAGGCTGTGAAGACTAATGTAAACATCCCTCGAGGGAGAGAGTAGCACCTCCAGTTCTTAAAGAAACTGTGGACAATATTCTTCTCAATAAATCTTTCCTGGATAAACAAGAGTGAACTATTTTTGTCTGGTTTCCAACTTTCCTTTTTGGGGTAAGATTGTCAAGAAAGTGGCTATACAGCTACAGGCAGGTCTGGATGAAAACAGATTATCTGGATCTCTTCCAGTTGGGTTACAGACTGAGATATAATACTCAGATAGCATTGATTAAACTTACAGATGACTTCTGGCAGGACCAGGATGGAGGTAGTACATCCACCCTAGCCATTCTTGAACTTGGATTCTCAGGTCCTGCTGGAACAGCAGGTGGCAGCCATGGTAGGGAGCCTTTGCACAAATCATCTTACCTGCCAATTGAGCCCATTCCTGGAGCAGGAGGCTCTACTCAAGGCTGTCCTTGAAAACCACCTGGGAGCTGCAAGTGATCCAATTACACAGTGGCATGAGTAATTATGGATAACCTTGGTGTGCCTATGTAACATCACTGCTTCATGAATAGCACTGGGTCCCTATAAACTTCCAGGACAATCAAGGTGCTATCTATAAAGCTTTTCATGGCACAGGACTGGGTACTTGCAAGACTATTTATCTCCAACTGCATCTGCTGAAACCGTGAGATCCAGCAGAGTATTCATGCTTTGGATCCCTTCTACAAAACAATGTGTTCTAGTAGGACCCAGGGATCAGGTTTTCTCTGTTGCAGCACATGCCCATGGAACATGATTCCCTTCAAAGATTTGGACAGTCCTGACCTGTCTGTTCTTCCACGTGGTCCTTAATTTTTTTTTTTTTTTTTGCTGAGCATTGGACCAGACCATGGAATGAGCCTGAAGAGAATGTAAGACCCTTGAATGAGATATGTGTTGGTTAGCCTTGGTTGCTTCTGTTATTACTGTTATTTTTGTTATTCAGTTATCCTGTTGTATTTTATGTTATGAAAGTTTATTTTATTTTATTTTA